AATCACACAATTACTGTTTATGCCATAAGTATTTCAAAAGGACCCATCAATCTTTCTTATTTTTGCTGCATTTGGGATTGATTTGATGGTCAGCAATGCTATTATGTTAAATGTAATCTTGAAATGAAATCTGAGATTTCTTTGTGCAATGTGCCTTGTGCGTCATTGTTGTGATACCATTGTTGGCACGTAAGAACCATTTTTACTGTAAACCAGTCTGAAACTGATCCATTTAAGAACTGAATCAGGCAGGGCAGCCATCAAGGAATGTTGTCCATTTATTTCTGGTTGATTGCACTACAGTCAACAAATAATGGGCATTATTATGGGCTTAATGGCCATAATATGATCCCTCAGCAGTTGTGCCAATAGCTCAGATTTCAGCCTTTTGTAGGCAGGTTCTTATACTTGCATAACAGAAGATATACTGTATTAAGGTGAATATTAAACTTCATGCATGAGCATTTTACATCTGTGCAGTACAAGTTTCTGGTTAATTTTAATGAATTCAACACCGATGGGCATCAGCATAGCGATACATTGGTTCTTGTAGACTGTATGCTCACTTGGGCGTGCGACAACGCAAATGTGTTTTTGCACAACGTCATGCGTCCTTGTGCTGGCTGTACACACTTCAATAAACTACCAATCTCTTTTCCAATCGATCTCTTCTGAAAGAAGTAATCATTCCATAGTCAACAACCCATTCGATTGAAATGCCACACACACACAGAATTATATTTCAATCAATAGTTCAGATACAATTGTAAGTTATCGATCGCATTTCTGTTTCCAGCATGAAATCTTGTAATCTGATTGTTCAGGATACAAATGTATTTCAGAACAAAGTATCTCAGTGTTGCTGATTTTGTTGCAAAACAAATGATAATATTCTGCCCTGGCCGATTAACTAACTGACTGAGTTTTATCGAATTGATCAGAGAGAAGTTATGGCTATTTGTGGATTTGATTGAATTAATTGAACTACACTCATTAATAAATCGGTCAGGCAAAAAAAAAAAATCGAAGTGTGTATAGCTACTATTAGATGTGGTGGCTGCTTTTTTTTTTTTTTTTTTTTTTTTTTTTTTTAAGCTAAGAGCATGTTTAGCTACTACAGAGCATAACAATTGATCTGGTAAGATCAATTACAAATTGCCCTGCCTTCATGTATTATAGATGAAATGACATGCTTGTAGCCCACCTTAGGACATCAGCCTAGGGTGACAACTGTGGCCCCCTCCATAAGTACAGCAGAGGAGCGAGGTAGGCATCTGGGCTGAAATTGTGCCTTACCACACCAAAAGGTATTGCATACACTACTTAAAAAAAACAAAAACACAGCAGCATGATTGCATGGCACTACTGTACCATGGAAATTTTCAGGTCTAGATAGTACATCATGTAAGATGATCAAATAGAGACGGCGCATATGAACAGCAATTTGATGTGTTTCACTAAAAAAAAAATCCAAGGAATGTGTAGTTGTATTGTCATAGGTTTGGATTCCGTCACATTCCAGCTCGAATGTCCTTGCACAGATTCAGACATTATCATTCTGTGCTGCACTAAGCTCTAATCTAACGCCTCTGACACGTGGACTAGTTTTTTTCTACAGTATTGCTGAGGATTATTACTAAGAGGGGATCAAGATGACAGGAAATGAATCGGCAACTATCTTGAAATTCATTTTCAAGCTTATTTTTGTGTATGCTGGAAATATCCAAAATGTGTCATACCACTCAGTAGTTAGAAAAGCACATTTGTTTGCAAAAAAAAAAAAACGGTTAACCCTAAGGATATTTCCTAAAGTTAATCAGGGATTATATTTCTTTTTTTACTCAACATGCAAATACCTACAAGAGACTTGTCATTACAATTCATTCTTCTGTGATGTTGTAGGGAGCAGTCTTTTTTATGTGTAAATTTAAAAAGAATAAATGGAAAAAAGAAAAGAGAAAATGGAATAAAAGAAAAACAGATTGCCTGTAATAAGATCAATTCCATGCTAAGGTTTGCATAGGCTTTATTAGGATTCCTAAAGTTCCATTTCACCTTGCATCTCACCATCTGTGTATTACGTCCGGCATGTCTATTGAGGGTGAATACTGTAATGTACAGTATGTATCAAGCGTCTTCTAAGACTTCACTAGAAGTAGCTTTGGGGTTTATGTACTAAAGCTGGAGAGTGCAAAAGCAGGCTCTGCATAGAAACCAATCCACTTCTAACCTCGGCTTGTTCATTTAAGCTTTGGCAATAAAACTTGGAAGCTGATTGGTTTCTGTGCAGAAGTCAGCCTGATTTTGCACTCTCCAGCATTAGTAAATAAACCCCAGTGTGTAAATTTGTTAGACTTTTGTCATGTTGACTTATTAAAGAAACTGAGGCTGTGTATTTGGCATAGTGAATGTTCACTTTGAAAAGTCAATGTTAACAAAACAAGGGGAACCCGTGTTCCCCATAACGCAATTTTTACAAGAATGAGATTGGTTGATTAACACTGAAACGGAGCTCCAGTATTTAATGAAGTTTAAATAATTCATGTGGACCAAGCCGGTTCAAACAACTTCCTTCCCTACTAGATGTGCCTGTTGTGTGTACTGTATAAGCTGTATGTAGCCCCAGCCACATACAGGAAGGCTGAATTCACACTGTGACCACCGGTTTACTGCATCGTAAAATGCCTGTCACTGCAAGGGCACAGAAAATAATTGTTTTCTGTGTGTCCCATTCACACCGCAATGCAGCCCAGAGTACAGGATCGCTTGCAGCTGTATAGCAGTGAATTCTCCTGCTGTATAGTGACATGAATAAAGTATACTTTTGTACACAAAGTTCAGTAAGGGGAGAAAAAGAGAGCTGTGGGATACCCTACTGCAGCCAGAACCAACAGCAGCTGGAGAGGAAAGCACTGTGGTTTACCTCCATTCTGTCAATTTGCTCTAAACAGTGCAGTGAGATGGGAACTTCTAATCCTGCTCCTGGAAAAAAACTGAGTCGGGCTGAGCACTGCTCAGCCATTTACAGTGAGTGTTGTAGTCTGCATAAATAGTAAGCTTCCTCTGTTTGTCCCAATCTCCGATTCAGCCATTCATTTCACCTAAAGCTGGAGATTTTTACTCAGCTGAGTGAAATTGCTCAGGGAGCAGTCCATTCCTTTAGCCATGGCTCACACTTGTGCTGGCCGTGAGGCTTGTGTTTGTGCGGGCATAGCAGCCCATTCATTTGAATGAGCTGCCAGGCCTGTGTTTTCCACAAAAAAAAAAAAAAAAAAGGTGTTACTTTGTGACTTCCCTGCGGTTCCCGCAAACATGGTGCTGGCTGAGATGCATGGGGGGTGCCATTTAGAATGAATGGCAGTGCCACGCGTCTCGTAAGAGCAGCGCAATTTGAATGTGGGTGTGCAAACCGAAGCAATTCTCACCAGCCCTCAGTGTGAACCAGGGCTGAGTTAATCACTTCCTTTTTTTTTTTTTTTGGGGGGGGGGGGGGGGGGGGGGGTTTGTTTTGAATGGACAGAAAAAAAATAAAGAAAATAAAACATGAGTCCAGATTTCATGTACCATGATTTCTAACAGAACAATTGTCATCTTATATATATATATTTTTTTGGCCTGAATTGCAAATGTAACAGCGTAACAACTAATTTTCCCTAATTTCACATCGCTGATGTAACCTTGCTAACCTCAGAATGTTTTTTGTTTTTTTTTTTTTTCTGCTGCACTTATCGCTTTAATCTATGCTCTTTTTGCCATCCGATATACAATGGCTAAGTTTGCATGTTCAGCAGCTGGGCAACTAATATTCATAGCAGGGTTATCTGCACTTTGAGGTGGATTTGTGATTATGTAGGCAAAGGTATTAGATTCAACTGGGGGCCATGTGTGGCCTTCATGGTCTGCCTGTGTGCTCTGGGACACATTAAAAAATGGAGACTTTTCCTTCACCTGTGCAGGGGGTATGGATAATAGGGTTTCAGTTTACATCTCCGTGCTGTAATATTATCGCTGAGCACTATTATTGCACAACCATCTGTTTCTAATGTGTACATTGGTTGGCATGCTTAGAATACAAGGTGGTGTCAAAAGGTTTCGGAACACGCCAACAGATGGCAGCACAAGGCTGCATGCACAGTCACCAAAAGACATTGGCCTGTGTACATCGGGAGCTGTGCAACTGGTGCTATTCTGACCACATGCGTTACCACGCCTGTTATTTCAACAAATTAGACCAAAGCGCAAATGTGAAATTCTGTGTGAAACTGGGCAAATCGCTGGATCTCCGCAATGTTGTCGAAATGGTGACCTTTGAGCTGGTTCTTTATTTTCAGGAAGAGGGCATTTTTGGGGGTTGAGATTGTTGAAGGTCTTCCTGATCTCTTGTCGTCTTCCAGTGATCTTCTGCTCTTGAAGTGCGCTTAAAACACCTCGAACGACTCATTGCAGTATTGCTGTCAATTTTGCCAAATCATGTTAAACATTTCTGTGGCAGATTTGCCTAGTTTCACGCAGAATTTCATGTTTGCTCTTTGTTCTAACTTGTCGTCCATGATGAAGTAGCAGATGTCGTAACACACGTGGTCAGAATAGCACCAGTTGTGTGTGTGTGTGTGTGTGTGTGTGTGTGTGTGTGTGTGTGTGTGTGTGTGTGTGTATATATATATGACGTCTTTTGGTACACTGACTTATGAAGGTTGGTGCTCCCTGTGACTGTGTGTACAGCCTTGCACTGCCATCTGTTTGCGTGTTACAAAATTAGTCTCAAAACTTTTTGATACCACCTTGTATAAACTATTTTGACTACCTTTTATCCTAAGAAAAATTAAAGTGGTAATTCTGCAGGCAATGAGGGCCGTGGGTGGGGGGAGGAAGCTATTTAATTTGGAAAGGTGGGCTGGGTGAAAACAACACAAAGGCAAAGACCTACATATCTTCTTGAAGGATCTTTCTAGTTTGGATCTTCTACCACAGGTACTGTGAGCTAATTGTGAAGTTGTTGCATGTGTAATTGTCTAATACCGGTTCTCTTCTTTCTTTTTATTTGTAACTGTATTTTTATCTTTCACTCACCTCTTGGGGAACACTGCAAGGAGCTGGTAAGAAGCCTGCTGTCTGATTCCCTCTCTGCTCTCACTGTGGCTTTTCCGCTTTTTTGCTGTTTGCTTTTATGTTTTACTAATCCTAATATTTAAATACAGCAACTGTTTGTAAACATGGATTTAAGAAAACTATTTTCCCTCCTAGCTATATGTTGTGTTTTTTTTCTAATTCCTGTCATCTGACTGGCTATTTGTGATCATCAATCTATCTTCCTTTTACTGTTTTCTATCACCTGTCCAGCTATCAGCTATGTTTGATTTCATATTTTTTACCATAAACACAAACAATACTGTTTTTAAAAATTTAACATTGCTTTTATTAGTACAGAGATGGTTGTGTATGAAAATCCCAGTAGATCAGCAGTATTTGAACTACTCAGACCAGCCTGTCTGGTGCCAACAATCATGCCACGTTCAAAGTCACTTAAATCCCCTTTCTTCCCCATTCTGATGCTCAGTTTGAACTTCAGCAATTCGTCTTCACCATGCCTAGATGCCTAAAATGCATTGAGTTGCTGCCATGTGATTGGCTGATTAGCAATTTATGGTACCAAGCAATTGAACAGGTGTACCTAATAAAGTGGCTGGTGAGTGTACCTTTTTTAACATATAGCGCAATACTTGATATTGTGGTTAAAGCAGAATTCCATTTAAAAACAAAACAAAACGCCCACCTGCAACAGGTGTCCCACTATATCAAATAAGTTCTGTCAGAAATCCCTTTTTTTAAGAAGTTAACCCCTTTTAGGAATTGTGACTTGGCTTTTTTTTTTTTTTTTTTTAGGCCCTTACCACTTGCTATCCATGCCTCTCATGCATCTGAGCATGTTTTTATGTGCATGATATGCACAGAGTCTGCGTCTTTGAATTCTGATCATTTGTCGACTCATGCTGGAATGGAGACCAGAGTTGCAATAAAGGCAGTCCCTGTCTGCACCTAAGCAGTGTCAGCAGAAGCCTGATCATTGGGTTAGCTCCCAGCACAGTGAGACCACAGTGTCTTCTCCTGCCTAGTGTGGTCAGTTTTTGATAGGAAAACAGGGACTAGCAAGAACACCGGGGATTTCACACAAGGGAAGCAATACAAAGATAACAGGGTACCTTTTCATACAAGTACATGATACAACAGGCACATATCAGGAATGTGCAATGTTTTTGGTTTACATATTCTTTATAGCGGAGCTTCACCCAGAAGGGGAGGTTTTGCTTGAAGTACTAGTCTCCCGCTCCCTGTGAGAATTGGCACCTTTGGGGAGTGGACACCTTTTGACAGGTACCCACTCCCACTTCCATTTTCAGCAATTGGAAGCAGACGTTGTCCTTTCCCCTCCCTCCCCGTAGTCTTCTAGGGACCGGTCACAGGTCCCAGAGAATTACAGAACCATTCAAAAATCACAGTGCTATTTGTGAATGCGCAGTGGACACCTGGCTGTGAAGCCGCATCGAAAAATGCCCCTTATGGACTAGAGCAGTTTTCATTATTAAATACTGAAAAAATGCAGATCAAAGGTCGCCTCTTTGATCTACATATGAATGAAATTGTAAATGCACCTTTATAGGCTGCCTACATGCAGCTCAGGGCAGGGGGGGCGGACTGACCATTTGGAAACTCAGGCACTGCCCGAGGGCCCGGGGTCAGTAGGGGGCCCCATGAGATGCCCCTGGTACACTTTTTTTTTTTTTTTTTTTTTTTCCATAGGCTTTTTTGAGTTTGGGCAAGGACACAGGGGCCCCAAGATCCCCTATTGCCCAGGGGTCCCATGAGTTGTCAGTCCACCCCTGTGCAGGAGCAATAACAAATGTGGCTTGCATGCAGAACGGGTGTCAACGCCCATCTGAATGAAGCCTAAACCAAGATTGATAGGTTTGTGTCCTTTTTTTCTGTTCTGTGTCTGCATTCTTATCATGCACTTGATTGCTTTCCATCTTGTCTGATGTCTACGTTTCTCTGTTATTTGGAGTAAAAAAGAAAATCCGTGTTTTGGTATTTTCTTAAATCCTTGTAAACTGCAGTGCATCTTATATTATCCCCTAATGTTCATCACTGCTTTTATATGAAGATATTTTTTCCCTTTTGCATGAATATTTACTTCATTGCTTTGATGTATTTAGAATATAACCCAGTCAATGAGTCTTGTCTGCTAATTTTCCACTTCCAGGAATTAATGATTTACACATTGGACTCACATAAACTTGAGATTTTGTTTTAATCTTTTACATTATTTCATTAAATGAGAGGGCTTATTTAATAAGATATTTCAGTTCACTGTAGTCAAGGAAAAAGATACTTAATGGTAAGTATGGGTCAATGCATTTCCTATTTAAATAGGCTTGCTAGACCTCTGAATATTCTGTGGGCACCCTTAAACATCTTCTTTGTGCCAATCAGTTGAAGGTACTGAAATATTTTACAATAGATCTTAAAGCGGGATGCTATAGCAAAAATATAGGATCCCGATTTTCCAACATTTGCAGGTATTCTCATGATTTATCTCTCATGTAGGCTGCTTCTTGTGATTTGATGGTTATGTTGTGGAGTGCTCACATATTGTAATCCTTTTCAATCAGTGCAGTTTAAATACATTCTGTAATGAATGCTCACTATCAATTTTAAGTTCTTGATTTTTTTTTTTTTTTTTTTTTATTTGCACGCACCACGAGGTAGATTGCTTTCAGTTTGTGTTCTAACAAATATCAGTGCAATGCAAGCTGCTAATTCTTCTATGTTATTCTTTCCTATTATCCAGGAGGAACTGACCAGCACCAGTGTAGAGCATATTATTGTCAACCCCAATGCAGCTTATGATAAATTTAAAGACAAGAGGGTTGGCACTAAAGGACTAGGTGAGTTCAAAGTACGGATCTTGTGGTAAAATGTGACTTTCTGTTATGGCGGAGGAGGAAGTAGCCCTAGTGTTTTGTGTAGACATGAGAATAAAAAAAAAAAAAAAAAAAAATTTCTATATTTAAAAAGGCAGTTGATACCAGGATGGGTTTCCCGCTAGACTCTCCTCTCAATTGTGTTGTGTGGTTAAAGGCATAGGACTCTCTAATACTGCTAAAAAAGATTAGGTGTGAAGTAAAACAAACTTTGTTTAAAGCATAGGCAAAATTATTTATTTTTTTTTCAATGTAAACATTCATAAATTGGTAGTTAAAATTAGTGCATGAACTCATACTGGTAAAACTGTGTCTTGTGGCCTTCTCAATAGGCTTCCCAGCTGTTGCAGGAGGTTTATCTGACCCCTTCGCTTGACCTTTGCTGACTGCACAACTCAGAGCTCATTGGATTTCCAATGAACTGATGAAAGAGAATCTGGGCCAGGGGTAGGCAACCTGTGGCTCTCTAGCTGTTGTGGAACTACATTTCCCATGAGGAATTGCAACATTACAGAACTGACAGTTACAGCTATGACTTGCAGAGGCATGATGGAACTTGTAGTCCTGCAACAGCTGGAGAGCTGCAGGTTGCCTACCCCTGGCCTGCGCCATGCATTGCAAGGAGGAGGTGTGAGGCTATAGAAGAGGTTGAGAGGTGTGTAGTCTGTTGCTAGTCATTGGCTTTCCACACCTTTCTTTTAGTATGGCAGGCCATAGTTTATGCAATTTTCTTTCCTTTCACCATGGGTGGAAGGAAAAAAAATTGCTTGATTCCCCATCAACACAGTATTGATGGGGAAATCTCTCCCACAGGGCTGTTGTGTTTTGCTGGGGGAAGGCTATAGCCAGCGGCACTAATCATTCGGAGAAAAAACAATCTGACAGGCTAGTTGTACTCCAGTTAATCAATAGATCAACCAGGGTGCCCATATCCATGTATTGCCAGCTTAGGGTCCTTTCACACAGGCGTCCCGTCTGCTTCACCAGTTTAGTCAAGTTTTTCTTTCAAAGAAAAAAAAACATGGATCAGTTTACATCTGTTTTTCACATCCACTACCAGACATGTATATATTTACTTGGTGCAACTACAAAAAACACATCAATACCCTATAGGTCATCAGTTTAGCGTTGCCCATGAGCTCTGGTGCTAAAATTATTGATCTCGCTCTGATGTGCACAGTGAATGATGTAAATGTGTAGCACAATTGCCTTTTTTACAAAAGGCGCATGCATTTTTTTTTTTTTTAAACTTTTTTCATGTGTCTTTTTAAGTGTTTAATTATATTATTGCTATCACATTGGGGGACCAATAGCACCCTATAGCCTATGTGATGGCATATAAAGAGACAGGTCCTTTTTGTGCGGGGGGGTGGGACTTGGCAGTGTGTGCAAGGAGAGGCAGGACAGGAGAGGAGCAGTGTATACAGTGAGTGCCAGTGCTGTCATTGCCTACTCTAAATGTAATTGCCGGATCTATTTTTATTCTTTACTTTTTAGCGCCGGAGCAGGAACTGTCCGGCCCCCACCGCTAAAGTAAACAAAGGGGCAGGGTCACCCATTGACATCACCTGTTGACCGTGTGCCTTTGTTTACTTCAGTGGCAGGGCTGAATGATAGCGTCTTTACCAGTGCTGTAAAATAAAGCAAATAAAAAAAAAAAAAAAAGAGCTGGCAATGCCGGCAAGTGAGGGAGCCTGTCTGTACACACTGCCCCCACATTGTATATACTGCCCTCTCCTCTTCTGCCTACCCTTTGTCTGCAGTACACACAATCCCCACCCCTTAGCTGCATTCAGTCTGCCTTTTTTTTTTTTTTTTTTTGTTTACTTTCTGCTGTCAGCGGAAATCCCTGGTGACAGCAGGGAGGAATCACTGGTTGTTAGGACGTTGGTGGGTGCCGGCTCCTAACAACCAATGCAAAAACGTACCATTTGTCTGTTTATCCTCTACTGTTTTTTTTATTGGAACAAAAACAAGTGGGCAGATGTAAACGGGTGATCAACCGTTTATATCTGTGTGCCCATAGGAATGCAATGCTGTCCGTTTTTTTTATATTTTGCCTTTTTTTAATCCGTCAACGAATGGACATAGAGAATGCCTGTGTGAAAGGATCCTTAACCTCTTCACGCCGAGCGTACGCAAATGTGCGGCCTCTCGGCGTCTGGGCCTTGACGCTGAGCTGCCGCACATTTTTCGTGCAATGAAAAAAACGTGCTGAGAGCACACGCCCTGCGCACTCTCAGCACACATGTCCAGAACTCATGGAAAGGTCCCAATCTCCTCTTGTGATCGGGACCTTTCCCGATCATGTGACAGCGAATCGCAGCAGTCACATGACCCTAAAACCCCACCCGCCTCCAGGTTTCTGAAACCCTTAAAGGGCCGGGAGGCGCCGGCGCCAAGGGGTTAATCTGTCTGTTCATACATTTGCATAATGAGCAGGGCACAACACTGTATGTAACAATAACTTTAGCTCTGCTGTTTGTGTACTAGCTGGGTAGATTTACCGTATTTGTCTTGTGACTATTATCAGAAACAAGGTGCAAAGGTAAATGTTCCATCGAAGACACTTGTTCCTGTTGATAGCTGTCTGAGAGAGGAGATTTCCTCTCACTTCCTGTTGTGTTTCCAGCACAGGAATTGGAGGGAAAACTTGCAAAGGGACACAAAACAAAAAAATAAACTGACCAGTTTTAACCTTTCCCTACTCTATCCAAAACTAAAAATGTAAAACAATGTTTTTAATAGTTTTCAGTTAAAGATTAACCATCAAACTCATAAAGAGTGGCACAGACTCTTTAGAAATGTGTACTGCTCCCATATGACAAATGTTGGTGCGTGCAACAGATTTGTGTACCTTTTGGGAACCTATACGGTATGTGAATTTGTTGCAAAGATGTGCCAGAATCAACATAAATTACACAGGGCCTTTTTACCCATGATGCCAGCTGACTCAGACAGCATTTATGGAGGTATGGTCCAGCACTGAGGCCATAGTGTCCATGCCGCTCACTCCATCCTAAGTACATGATCAGCTCTGTGCATGTCCAGCCCCAATATCAGTGGTTGGTAGGATATTGGCAGCCATCTGCATCCTAGCAACTAGTGGCCTTGTGTGGTCAAAAGCATCCTAGAAAAAGATGATGCTGGTAAGTTGACAGATTGGGGTGGGAAAATAACAAAGTAAAATTGAGACCCTCCATGGATTTGCTCCGATTCACCTCCAGCTTCCTTAACGTTGATGTGGTTTTGTTAATTACTTTGTCGCATGTTAAAAGTTACATGAATCTTGTACTGTACTCCTCGGCACAAAAATACTGCCAGAATTTGTTTGCAAAGACTTTACTGAATCGCTCCCAAAGTTTTTATTTTATTGCACAAAGTAGTGGAAATTCAGTCATGTGCTCACTATTTCATTTTGTAGATTTCTCTGATCGAATCAGCAAGTCAAAAAGGACAGGATATGAGTCTGGAGAGTATGAACTAGTAAGTATATCTTAGATTTTACTATCATAATTGTTTAATTTGTTGAAGGGATTAAAGGTGAGAAAGTAGGACAGTGATCCCACCATACTAAACAAAGTATCTTTAATGCCTGTCACCCATGTAGGCCTCCTTGATCTTTTTGGTGTAAAGCTAAGGTTTCCTTTGAAGTTCTGCTACTCTTTGACAGTTCACCCCATTTGTAGTACTTTTTTAATTGGTGTATTGCAAATGAGGAAGTTATCTAGAATGTTCTGTTGTAAAGGCAGCTGAGCTGTTGGGCCTCCCTTTTAAAAGTAACTTAAAAGCAGATAGGACATGCAGTGAAGGAAATAAGTATTTGATCCCCTGCTGATTTTGAATGTTTGCCCACTCACAAAGAAATCATCAGTCGAAAAATCGAATGGTAGGTGTATTGTAACACTGAGAGACAGAATAGCAACAAAAAATTCAAAAGAAATGCATGTCTAACAAATTATGCAGTGATTTGCATGGTTATGAGGGAAATAAGTATTTGGTCTCCTTCACAAAACATGACTTAGTACTTGGTGGCAAATCCCTTGTTGGCAATCAGAGGTCAGACGTTTCCTGTAGCTGGCCACAAGGTTTGCACACATCTCAGGAGGGATTTTGGCAGATCCTCTCCAAGTCATTAAGGTTTGATGACTGACATTTGGCAACTCTAACTTTCAGCTCCCTCCACAGATTTTCAATCAGATTAAGGTCTGGAGACTGGCTTGGCCACTCCAGGACCTTATTGTGCTTCTTCTTGAGCCACTCCTTTGTTGCGTTGGCTGTGTGTTTTGGGTCATTGTCATGCTGGAACACCCATCCACAACCTATTTTCAATGCCCTGGCTTAGGGAAGAAGGTTCTCACCCAAGATTTGATGGTACATTGCCCCGTCCATCGTCCCTTTTGATGCAGTGCAGTTGTCCTGTCCCTTTAGCAGAAAAACACCACCAAAGCAGAATGTTTCCACCACCATGTTTGACAGTTGAGATGGTGCTCTTGGAGTCAAAGGCAGCATTCCTCCTCCTCCAAACACGGCGAGTTAAGTTGATGCCAAAGAGCTTGATTTTGGTCTCATCTGACCACAACACTTTCAACCAGTCCTCCTCTGCATCATTCAGATGTTCAGTGGCAAACTTCAGATGGGCCTGGACATGTGCTTTCTTGAGCAGAGGGACCTTGCAGGCACTGCAGGATTTCAATCCTTGTCGGCGTAGTGTGTTAGCAATTGTTTTCTTGGTGACTGTGGTCCCAGCTGCCTGGAGATCATTGACCATGATCATAAGAACAATGAGGAATCATCCCAGAACTACACGTGAGGATCGTGACACTCCACGAGGTGCGATCTTGCATGGTGCACCATACATAGGGAGACTAAGGTTGTTTTGTGTTTCTTCCATTTGTGAATGATTGCACCAACTGTTGTCACCTTCTCACCAAGCTGCTTGGCGATAGTTTGGTAGCCCAGTCCAGCCTTGTGTAGGTCTACAACCTTGTCCCTGACATCCTTGGACAGCTCTTTGGTCTTTGCCGTGGTGGAGAGTTTGGAATCTGATTGTTTGATTGTTCCTGTGGACAGGTGTCTTTTATACAGGTAACAAAATGAGATTAGCAGCACTCCCTTTAGGAGACTGCTTCTAATCTCAGCTTCATACCTGTATGAAAGACAACTGGTAGCCAGAAATCCTGCTGAATGATAGGGGATCAAATACTTATTTCCCTCATGAACATGCAAATCAGTACATAATTTGTTAGACATGCATTTCGTTTGAATTTTTAGTTGCTATTCTGTCTGTTACAATACACCTACCATTCGATTTTTAAGCTGATTATTTCTTTGTGAGTGGGCAAACATTCAAAATCAACAGGGGATCAAATACTTATTTCTTTCGCTGTATTTTGCATGCTATTATTTGTTGAGTATGCGGATTGATACTGTTTAAATGTATTCTTTTTATTATAAGTTTTTGAGAAGACTTTTTAGGGCTTACAGTTGGTAAAAGCATGTCCTTTGGTGTGCTTTCCTGAGCATTTCTGACAGTAGGGTGTGAGAGAGAATCAAATGCTGTGCTGCCCCTAATGAATGCCAGAAGCCGCAAACCCATTGACTTGCTTTGCTTCTCTTCTGCCAGTGCTAGAAATCCAGGATCTGTACAAAGGCTATATGACATTACCCAGGCACTTGATGCTTTTTTTTTTTTTTTGGGTGTAGTATGGGCAGTGGCAGATTGTTTGTTTAAACTTGATAACCATTTTTATTGTTCTATGTTTTTGCATTGGTTACCTAACCCCATGCTTTCCATTTAGCATTCAGATATTTGAAGGAACATATACTTTTGGAAGCCGCTTTCTCAAAACAGATATACATTGAGAGGGAATTTACTAAAATTGGAGCAGCACAAATCTGTACATGGCAACCAATTATCTTCTATTGTTCAGTTAAGCTTTGAAAATGAAAGCGAGAAACTGACTGGTTGCTATGCACAGCAGCTTCAGTTTCTATTGCTGCTGTCCTAATAAATCCCCCCCCCCCCCCCCCCCATAGTTTTTTGTTCTGTTCTTTCTGAAACAGCAGTCACCTGAAGTGACATGAGATCTACCCAACAGGGACAGAGTAGTAATTAATATTTTGCCGAGGTTCTAGCCTATCTCTGAGGTATCAAAAATAAGAGATTTTAATGAAATTACATTTTTTTTTTTTTTTTTTTTTTATATATATCAGCAAAAAAAGAATAGTGCACTATTGTATGTATATCTTATTTGTATTTATTTTGCAGTTGGGGGAAGGCATTGGCCTCAAGGAGACACCACAACAAAAAGTACCAGCGGCTGCTTCATGAAGTACAGGAGCTGACACAAGAAGTGGAGAAGATACAGGTGAATTGTAGACCTTTAAATCCGTTTGAATAAGTATTCTTTCTGAAAGTGTGAAGACCCACCTTAGTCATAAGATAGATGGATATTTTGTAACTTTTTGAGTACCTTCTGTGTGAATGCTTTGTTATATTAAACTCATAATTCTCTATTTTCTACATAGAGCACTGTTAAGGAATCAGCCACTGAAGAGAAGCTTACTCCAGTTGCATTAGCAAAGCAAGTGGCTACATTGAAGCAACAGTTAGTTTCCAACCACTTAGAGAAGTTGCTAGGCCCTGATGCTGCCATCAACCTGACAGACCCTGATGGAGCTCTTGCAAAGTAAGTGTTAAAATAATAAAGATAACTCTTGTGTGTAGAGAACTGGGCAGTAACCCATTTCTTTCATATCACTGACTACTCCAAATTTGTAGAAGGTGACGTGTTTGGTCATTGAATAATTCTGCATGTGTAGTACATAAATGCTATAAGGATGTCCTAATAATAATGTATTTGATATTAGGCTGACATTGCTCAGAAGCATGTGGAATTTGGTCTTATATCTGATGTTTAATTTTAGGCGGTTGCTAACTCAGTTGGATGCTGCTAAAACGAGGAAGGGTCCAGAAGGAAAAAGCCCGGCAAAGGGAATAGACAAAGATGGGGGTTTGGTCACCTATGAATTACATTGCCGTCCTGAACAAAACAAATTTTCCCAGGCTGCTAAGGTAATGTTGGGTGACACAAGTGTGGTCACATTATGATGTTGTTTTGTACATAACAAAAATTAAATGAAGGATAGTAAACATTTCTAGGTTTTCCTAAGAATGTTTTGTAGAGCAGCTATTTAGTTGAATACTTGCAAATATATAGTTCTCGTAACACCTTCCAATTTGCAATATAAATAAAAGGTCTCCCAGCATCATGCCCTTTGCTGGGCATATGTCCCCTCTTTCAAAGCAAGTAGCTGAAACTTGGCGTGGCTTCTGACTGAATCACATATGTCATTGACAGCTTGGGTTTTCATTGACAATCAGACAAATCAGAAAGTAAGCAGAATGGTTTCCTGATGAAATCAAAAACCTTTAGCCTACAGATAACCAAAAATCAATATGAGTGTACAAACGTGTCATAGTTTTAGTCAAGTTAACTGACAAATATGAACGTTGTTTAATTCAGCTTGGGTATTTAGGCATCAGTGACTTGTAGTCTTGAAAGGATTGTTGTTGGAGGAGTACCTGTGGACCGGCACATTAAACCTGTCTCTGAACACACACAACACATATAAGAGGGTGTGAACCATAGTTTTCTTACTGACACATTGCACACGATTTGCTCTGTTCTTTTTCAAAATGTCCCATATTTGACATTTTCTACAACCATCTCACATTACATGTCATGTTGGTTGTCTTTTAAGTGCATCTAACTGTTGGCCACAGTGAAACTGCTGTGGCAGGGACAGGACAGAAGAAATTACATTGGGTCTTTAAAGTTCAGTTTACGTAGATATTTTTGAAGCAATACTTTTCATTTCTGTCACATTGAAATTGGTTTTGACACATATCACATGTGGTTCTTCTTTTTTTTTTTTTTTTTTTTTTTTTTTTTCCCTTTGGTTTGTTATGTTACAGTTGGCAGAGCTTGAGAAGAGACTGGGTGAGCTGGAATCTGCTGTGCGCTGTGACCAGGACCCACAGGCAAGTTATTGGTGCATAATATAGTAAGTGAATTCTTATTTCTGACTCAGAGGTGATAGACATTACTGCTTTTGTTGTTGCAGAATCCCCTCACTGTTGGATTACAAGGATCAAATCTCATGGTATGTAACTTGTCCCTTTTTATGTGTGAAAAGACTATAAAAAGCAGCATTGCACTTAAAGCCATGTTATGAAACCGTTGCTGAAAAGGTGAATACTAGATAACTTGAAAGTAGGGTAGAAACACAAATGAACGCCTTTTGGATTTTTATTTTTTGTTTGTCCCAGGATACTGTGGAAATACTACAAGCTAAAGTGAACATGTTGGACGTTGCATCGTTGGATCAGGTGGAGGCCAGGCTACAGGTAAACCTTGTTGACCTCTTTCATTTGTAGATCATGGAATTGATGTCCAGACGTAGAATCTCTCTTGTTCATACATGTGTCAAGTAGCTGTGTGTTTTATTCCATAGAGTGTTTTGGGGAAGATGAACGAAATTGCAAAGCACAAAGCAGCAGTTGAAGATGCAGACACAGAAAGCAAGGTATACTTTTAAAATCTAAATCCAAACCATTATGCAGCTCTTTGTAGACATTGAACCCTCTTTTCTTGGCATAAACCACACAACCGCAGCCACAGCCCTGGTCATGCGCCCAAGCACCAAAAAGGTGGCAAACTGCCTTTTTACTAAGAGAAGTTAGCACTGTGCTGTGAACATATTAACACATTATGGTGTGGAAACAATTAAATGCGTTATATTGGATTTATGCATGCTTTAAAGAAGACCTGCGCAGTAAAAGCTGTGTCCATAAAAGCCAAGAGGAGGGCAGAAATGAATCCCTAGCATTGCCTGTAGACACTTTGCAGCTGGTCTTTTCCAAATCACCGGTTTATTGTGCATTGTTTCATATTCTATTGCTATGTGGAGGCTGCCATCTTGGTAAAGAAGGCGGCTTTGTTTCCTTATGTCAATGCTGCCCTCTAAAGACTGATGTAGTATTGTTCAAGAAGCAGCAGGAAAGGTGAAAACCACATGGATCCACAGAATAAATGAAGCAGGAAACTTGCAGAGCCAATCTTTTGTGTACAGCTGGGAGGAAAGGGCATAGTTGGGCACTCATAATGCATGCCTCTGACAGCTCCTCGGTTCTCTGCCCTTGCTGCACCAGAACATTAGGGCGGGTGGAGGGCATAGATGGAAGAGGATTTCACCTGGACAACAGCACAAGGGACACATTCTACTTGACTGCGCTTGGGCCTTAATGCTCAACTCTTAGGGGAAAAAGATTTATCCTTGCAGTGGGTCTCCCTTCCCACATTTTGCCAGAATATGATGAATAAGGAGTTGTACTTTCCTCATTCCTTGCTCCCACAGGCTTTCTCCTCCAGCAGTTTATGTTCACTCATAAACAAATCTGTACAAACATTTTCAGGTAATGTAGTGGAGATGTTTACACAAGCTCCAAGGCATTTCACACAGTCACACCCTCAATAGTACTGTCCTTTTTTGTGTGCTGCACAGTAGGCTACTCATTTGTGTACATATTGATATACATTACAGGATTTACAAGTAGTAAAAATGACATCCGATTCTTTCACTGAGATGTTGACAGTCATATTTGATTATTTTAGTTCTTTACACTGCCATGTCTGTTTCCTTAGGTTCACCAGCTATTTGACACTGTTCAAAAGTGGGATTCCATGTCTGGCACGTTGCCTCAGGTTGTGCAAAGGCTGGTGGCATTAAAGCAGCTTCATGAGCAAGGTAAATAGGCTGTCATGAGAGGTATTGGCTTAAGCAAACTGCTTTTGGTAAATCAGCAAAGCTCATGCTCCCTACTGAATGGAGAGCTTTAGCAATGATTTAGCAGGGGGTGTCCCTGACCTCTGCAAATAGACCACTGCTTCCACACAGAAAGCAAGGGTCCATCTTTGCTATATGCTGGCAGGTGACAGGCTTTTCTAATCAGGCTGTGTCCCCTTTCTAAATAAATGAACTGTAATACTTTGCACACCTTTTTGTTTTGATGCAAGTGGAATATATTTAGTTGATTTAAAGCAGAAGCCCTTTTTTGCACTGCTTGTTCCATCTAGGGAAAAAAGAAGTAGCAGCAATACTTACCCTTTATTGCCCTGGAAGCTGGTGCTGTCTTCTGCTGCCCAGTATGTGGACTAGCCTGGGATTGCTAGGGTTGCTTTGTGTGAAGATGCCAGAGAGGCTTCTTGGGACTGGTCATGCAGCAGTGAGGAAGACTGCAGCAGAAACAAAGAGTAAATGTTGCTGCTTACTCCTTTCCCCTTAAACACAAAGAGCACCTAACCCTTGCAGTGCTGGGGACACAAAGGGTATTTTTTTTTTTTTTTTAAACAGCTGACTAGTTTCAGTTTTAAGCTAAAGATTTAATTGGTTTATTACGTATTTTTAAAATTGTATTTACTTCCCCTGTGCGTACAGTACTTGGCCCTGTTAACATTTGTTCATTGGTTCCCAAGCAGTTTGGTTGAACAGTTTACCAACCCAACTACAGCAAGCATAAAGAGGTGCAATTATGGAACAACAGGGACACCGATCATAGTGGGACCAGCTGCTACATAGGGTGCATTCACACCTGCAAATGCACCTGCACTTTGATTAGATGCAAGAACCCTAGTGGGGGATTCCGTGATTAGCTGCGGGCGACAGCCCTTTTGAAAACAATGAGTCTGCTGGCTCTTGCAGCTCATTATGGGCATTTGCTCATGCATTGATCACATGTGAGTGATCAGCGCGGGATGCAGACTGCCTCCTTCCAGGGGTTCTTGCATCTAATTACAGTGCAGGTAAATTCACAGGTGTAAATGCATCCATACACTTGGTCCCCTAGGAAAAGTCTTTTTTTTCCAAGCACAGCCCCTCCCTTTTATAGCCTGTCTAATCGGCCAGCATCCCCCCCCCCCCCCTTCCCCTGAAACCTCTACATAACTGTAGCTGTCTGAGTTTGCTGTGGCTGATGACATCACAGCCAAGATTGCGGCACCCAGAAACATTCTCAGGGCTTTTGGTTGTCTAAACAACGGAAGCTTTTACAACTTGTCTAAAATATTTTAAACAGTGGGAAACTTTTTGTTAAAAGAATTGTCTGGCAAAAAGGTCTCTTTAAACTTCTAAGTGACCGATATGTAATTGCTATTGTAGTCCTAGCCTTAGTGTGCCAGTACATTGGTAATTTTTAGTACCTCAGTCATGCTTTTAAAATCACAAGCAATTAATTGCTAAGAGTACAAATTGATCACTACACAGATGGGGAAAATATGACTTCTAAAATGTTGTTCGCTACTACATTCTATTTGTTTAGCTTAGCTTTTGTTTTTTTAAAAAAAAATTTATTTAGCTGAATTGTTTTGCGCTTGGGAGTTAGAAAAAAAAAAGTAAAAAATTAAAAGTCCTGTAGCTGCTGACTTTTAATAAAAGGACACTTATCCAGCGCTGTCCTCACCCGGGCGAGTTCTTTAATAGGATGTAAACGCCTGAAATTAGAATTACATAGTAAATAGCTCACAAAGCATATAATGATAGGGTAGTGACACAAATATCTAAACAAAGTCTGTTTCGAGTAGGGAATAAGTGATGTGTGTCCCCACAACCGAACACTATATGTGAACAGCAACAAGCATCAATGAATGTCCAATATAGGTGCTAGGAGTGATGTTAGTGTAGGAAGAAACAGTAGATAGATGGGTGTCTTCACTCTTCCCTGTAGCACATGTGATCCGGTGACGTGCAAAGAAGATGGTAAGATTGCACACTCACCAGAGGTGCAATAGTAATGCCCGTTTGTATCAAATAAGCCAGAGTTCCCCTCTGTCCTAGGAAGGATGCAGCCTGGATTGGATATCTCTTCCGTGGATATGGGTGCTGGGGTGTTACTTCTAGAGGTCCCCTTTAATGGTAAGCTACGATGGGGGTCTGCTATAGATTTCTCTCCTCTGGGCTTTGGGATGGTTACCCGGGGATCCTGGGGGGTTAGGTGCTCGATGTAGAGCAAAAGATAGTGCCCATAGTGTAGTATTTAATATAAATGGGTTTATTAATATTCATGAAATAGATTAAAATAGAACACACATTAATAGATGATTCCCATGGGAGGAAGGATTAGGCGTTACGACAATGCAATCCTCAAAAAACACAGATACATGCAGCATAAAGCTGCTCAGTGCACTAACCAGCTGTAAACAAAGATGGGTGCCGGACCTCCGTGATCCGGCGGCGTGACGTCATGACGTGCAGGGCTCCTCCTTTCCTTCCAAGGAAGAGGTATCCAATCCAGACTGTGAGTGTGCAATCTTACTATCTTCTTTGCACGTCACTATCTTCTTTGCACGTGCTACAGGGAAGAGTGAAGACACCCATCTAGCCTACTGTTTCTTCCTACACTAACATTACTCCCAGCACCTATATTGGACATTCATTGATGCTTGTTGCTGTTCACATATAGTGTTTAGTTGTGGGGACACACATCACTTATTCCCTACTCGATACGGACTTTAAGATATTTATGTCACTACTCTATCATTATATGCTTTGTGAGCTATTTACTATGTGTTTTTAATTTCAGGCGTTTACATCCTATTACGGATTTTTTAGATTGTATAGTGCTAACATTCACTTTTTGTTTAAGATTCATCAACTACTCTTAATTTGTAATTGCATTTTAAACATCTGGTTTATTTTATTCTTCTTTACCTTTTAGCGCTGCACTACATGTTTTACGTTCAATTTTAGAAGGTCATTGGTTTCCTTTTTAGTTTTCCAGCTGCTTCTCACTTTTTAAGCACTCGCTGAACCCCACTTTTATATTGAGTTCTTCACTGGTCTTTGGATTCCTAGCGTTGACATCTTTAGTATAGGAAGCCCACACTGACAGCTTGCTGCGTCACAGCTGGATTCCTACTGTGCATGCGTGAACCGCATTGTGCTTCGTGAACAGTCCCGCAGCCTTTTGGGACCTTTGACGTGTCACAGAAAGCTACTGGTGAAGAGGGAGAGGGTGAACTTTCTCTGTTTGCCTAGGTGATCCCCCTCCACCACCCCTCACCCAAAAAACAATGTTCCAAATATGACAGAGGAGTGGAGAAGGAGGACTTACAGTGGAACTTCCCATTTTTGGGTGAAGTTCCGCTTTAATTCATCCTAGTGCATAGGCATGCTGAGAGCAACTTGGTGTACTTTTGAAAGTGCAAACTGAAAGGTAAGAGGCTTTTACTGTAGAAGAGACATGATATGCTTCTTCTGCAATAAAATAATCTTCCTGTTAGCATTTCTTTTCTCTTCCACTTTAAAGAATAAGTGCATCTTCAGACAAAGTGCACTTATTCTTTTTGCCCTCTTCTGCTGACCTAACATCCCATCCTCCCCTTGAGATCTGATTCCTGCAGCCTTATATGTATATTGACATGCAGGCTGCAAGTCCTATCTCTCTGCCAGCGCCTGTGCAGTAGAGGCCCTTTGAAGTTTGTGGGGCTCATCAGTCTCCCTGCTGGGAGATGTAGAGACAAGACGCATAGACAGCAGTGAGAGGGGACCTGTTGCGCTGGATGTCAACAAGCATAGAAGGCCGTGGGCATTGAATCTCTTTATGTATATGCCGAGGGGGCAAAAAGAATAAATGCACTTGACTGAAAGTATTTATTCTCTAAAGCTGCCATATATCTTGTCTGAACTTAGTACTTCTAAGAGATGCTCAAACTGTAATCTGTGGGGCAGCCATGACTACATTAGGGAAAACTAAAGTTAGTTTTGCTGTCCTCCAGCAGCCCAGGATGAATGTTTGCCATACCTAGTGTAATCCCACCCCCCTTCCCCACATTGTGAAGGATCTAGGACATATCCTGCAAACCTCATAACACTCTAGTAGTGATCTTCCCCTAAACTTGTGCTTTATATTGAATGTTGCATAACCGTGAGTGTAATGACTGAAAAAATGTGGGGTATGTTAACTGCATTGGGATCTAGACTAACGTAGAGAAATATTGAGTGTATCATCTTCCATTGTAAGCATTGTCTGATCAAATACAAGATAAGGATAGCAGTAGTGCTTCACTAGCCAGTACGAGTGATTTCTTCTAGCTTGTCTACCAGATGAGGATTATCGCTTGCATTTACTGTTCTTTAAATACAAATCCAGGAGAAATAATGTGGACATTCCTTTGATTTCCAGCCATGCAGTTTGGCCAGCTACTTACCCATTTGGACACTACACAGCAGATGATTGCCAATTCCCTGAAGGACAACAAAAGTGCTCTGGCTGTGGTAAGTGTTAGCAGTTGAGTTTTGGACATCTATATAAATCCCAGCTCCAGTTTTAAGTTTCAATTTTATGTCAAAATGACAGACACCTCTGATGTTTGCTGGATTTCCCTGATTGGTCATTTGTCTGTGGGTGGATATGGAAGTCTACTGCATATGCTTTCATCCATATAGATGCTGCTTTATCTTTAAAAAAAATATATATGTAGTTTTAATCTTTTGTAGATGGCTGTTTGTGCATCTCTGTACTGGTGTTCCCAAACTGAAATAGATTTGTATTAAATGACATTACAACTTGGACTGGATTTACAACAGCCTGCAGCTATAAAGTCTAATCATTGCCACAACTCTTTAGAAGAAGCATCAAATATCTTATGTCCTCAGTCAAATCCATTACATCTGTGGAGCTGCTTACTATGTCAAAAGATGTACTTCAAACACAAAAGCACATGTATACTAGACTATTAATGTATTCTTGTCAAACCCTAGTCTTCAAAATAATAACAAATTGCAAATGGGAAGACCGCCTACACCAACAACTGATTTATGATGATAATTCAAGTCTGGTTTCTATGTCAGACCCCTTATAATACAGATACACATCAAAATAATTACTGGGCACTTGTCTACCTTAATGAAGAAGTCTCACTGTATAAAATAGTTTCCTTCAGTCCCTGAGGTGGGGCCACAGTGCATGTAGCACTTTGTCCCTTTTTGATCCATGGGTCGGCATGGGGTTGCTGCTCTTGCACTGTGTGTTATGATGCCAGATAGGCTTCATGGGGTTGAGGGGAATAAGGGAAATATTACTAGAGTGATGATGTTTTTTTTTTTTTTTTTGCTAACTGCAAGAAGCCTTTTAACGTGCTATAGAATTACAATCCATATACATGTGCTTTTCTTCCAAAGGTTCCTGTTTTTAATTTTTGAAGGGCAGTTTATGCACTTTTTTACATTAATCAGTGTACCAGCAGATTTCTGCTGAGACTCCTTTAAATGCAGATCAGTGGCATGTAACTGATCTATTATTTGCTACTACAGTCAGTGAAAACCAAATGTGCTTATAGATGTTCCTGGCTGCACAGGTAAGGCATTAATCTTGCTACTTGTTTAAAAACATACGAGCACCGTATAAAAAAAGCACAAGCTTAAAAGGCCCAAATATTCATTTCTGTCCATTGAGTATTAAGGTTTACAGATGGCCAGACAACACAGCCCGGTGGATGGAGCCACTTAGGTTATTTTGAAATCTGACTGGACAGTGAAGGAACAGCAGTAGACTGATGAGATCAGCCCCTTTTTCTTCTACTCTTTTTTTTTTTTTTTTTTTTTTTTTTTTTTTTTTTTTATCAGCATGTAAATGCATTTGCATGACACATACTTGACTGGCTTCCTGTCCTGCCCCTCCCTTTCTGCTACCATATAGCGGGTTACAAGAGGCTGATAAGTCAAATTCAGAGTTGCATTAATTTGCATATCTGCCTGGAGTTCAGCTTTCAATTTGTGTAATAGCTCATTTATACCTCTGCATATTTGGGCATCCTTGATGTCTTCTACATTCATTTGTCAGGTGGTACTATTCATCCCTATGAAAGATGCACTTGCTGAAATACGCACCAAAAATACAGCAAGCAGAATAAAAACTGAAATGCATAGATGTGAACTGTGCTTTTATGTGTTATCAACTGAACACTTTACAAACCCAACTATGTACATACAATTCATGCCATATCAACTGAACGATTTGACTGTCTAAAGCCAAAATGTTTTCGTATAGCGTGGGAAACGGTTAAAAGCAATCTATGTCCCCACTAGGGAGATTCACCTATTCTATTTTTCTGCTGACCATAGTCATCAGGACAGAAAGAATAGATTAGAATTATTCCATGGTGTGTTTGTAAGTATGTGTTTTATATTTATATATTCACATTTGTCCTGCGTGTGCTTTCTTTCTGTGCAAACGGGAGCAAAAACAAATATCCTGGGCTCCATTAAGTGTCCATAATGCAGTATTTTCCCGATTCTCACATTCAGCCATTCAAATGTATAAAAATTAAATATGTCCTACACCCCTTCACTACTGCTGAATAGTCATTTGCCTACTTTTCTTTTTTTTTTTTAATAATTTTATATTGAGAGAAAACGAGACATTTGCACTATATTTTATGTCTCATTTACACTTGCTTCGACATCAAAACACATTAAAGCACCTACCATTTCAACATGTGTTGTTTTTTTTGATCCGTGTGTGTGTATTCTCTTTAGAAGGCTCAGTAGTACCCCCACTCAACAGATCCTAGCACCTTTGTACCCCTGTTCAGCATTGGTACCTTCATTCAGCAGATCCCCAGCTTATTAGTTAGTACTCTTGTTCAGCAGATCCTCTGCTCAGTAGTACCCCCAGCTCTGCTGATCCCCTGCTGCTCAGTAGTAACCCCCAGCTCTGCTGATTGTATAGTGCTGTGCACCACATGTGGTATTGCTAGTTTCTCCTGCTCTGGTGTGCCAGCTATGCTGATCCTTCACTGCTCAGTCCTCTCTCTAGTCCTCGCTTACCTTCTGCTATAACCTTCCCATCTTGCACACCATGCGTGCCATCTGCTGGTTGCTCCTCTTCAGCCTGGACTCCTCTCACCTTCCTTCTGCTCCACACTGCATACAAGATGTGACATCTGCACCAGACACTTCCAGAATATTTACACATGAACTGGAAGTGCCTGCTAAGGACATCTTTCTGTTTTGCTTGTTGGTCTCCCAGTGCATTCTGGGATATATATATACCTCCAAAGTGAAGCTAAAGCTGAATAAAAGCCTCTCAAAAGCTGCAGGTGCTGTTAGTAAGCTTTGTCATAGACAGTAGGTGCCCATGTTATGCTATAAGCTGTTGTATGAGAAACATCAAGGTTGCCATTGCTGAGCATTGCATTTGGGGAAAAAAAAAACTTGCTTAGCTATCTGCTCAGTTGGATCCAGTCCATTTGTAACTGTAAATAACAGCTAATTTCAGCTCCTATTGAAAACATTGCTGGAAACTGTAGTTCACAGAACCTGTGCATGTACTTATGGTGAATTCATGCTGCACAAATTCACTACTCATACTAGGCTAGGAGATTTGTATAGATAGTACTATCTAGTACTGGCCAGCTGATCTAGACGGATGTGGGGGCACATGAAGTCTACTCATGGCTAATTCGCTATAAACCATGTTTGTGATTTATTTTTTGTTTTTTTTTTAAACCTGAGAAACCTGTTAAGAGTAATGCTGCAGAACTGATAAGCAAGTCGGTTTTGAGCTGGTGAAAAGCTTCTGAACCTTTTAGGAAACTGATCTAAAAATATCTGTACAGTTGATTGGAAAAGTTTTGCTCAGCACAATATTCTCTGCATGTGATCTATTATTTATAAAGCTCTTGGTCTGCTTTTTTATCTAAAACCCTACCTCAATAAAAATGTATTTAGTTTTGGAAGAAGGGTTAGAATTAGATAGGCTGGGTTTTTATTTTTGTCTGCGACCCTCCTTAGGGAGGGTTTTTTTTTTTTTTTTTTTTTTTTTTTTTTTTGTTTTCTTGTTTTTTACCTTGACTTCTTTTGCTGTGATACCAGAGCAAGAAATGATAGAAACAAGTACCAACTAGAAGAAATTATTATCTATCAGTGTTTACCTTGGTGATCACATGGATAGAGTTTCGCTGGAAAGATCTTTCTTCTTTTTTGGGGTCCAAGTCTTCACAGTGGCATGTTCACACTGTCTGTATTCAGCCACCTTATTACTGGTTACCCTCTTCTTTTCCCTTTAACTTTTCTAATTAGACATACATAGCAATAAAACTGTCTGTTACTCTTTCCCCACTTGATAAAATAACTTTATTTGCTGTCTGTATCCCCATTGGAAAGATTTCCCATCATATCATGTCTTTGTGACTCCTTATTACTGGGGCCGCATGTGAGGGGAAATATTTTTGTGTTAGGGACAAAGCAATAAAATATGACAGTTTATTATTCGCCAGCTGTGGTCAGTGTTACAAATAAAAAAAAAAAACCTGGTTTTGGCTGGAGCTGCCCTTATTTGGTATTTTGCTTATGAGCCAGCTTTAAATAACTTTATTATTAGTTTGATACTAATGCTTCTGGGGTTCATATGTAACAAAGTTTAAAGTGGTTAAAAAGACTCAAGGGTTTTTACCTTCATGCGCAGAATGCATGAAGGTAGTAAAAAAACCTTGTGTGCAGCAGGCCATTGGCTCCTGCTACTGTCAATCATGGCCTGTGAGCCAGTGAGGAGAGAGTGATGGTGGAGCTGAGCCACGCTCTGTTTGAATGGACAGACAGAGCAGCAACTCAGGAGCATAGTTGCTTGCTATGGAGGCACTTGGCAGGAGTGAGGGGCCAGGAGAGCTGGTGGGAAAGCAGACAAGAGGAAAGTCAGGGCTGCTCTGTGTAAAACCACTGCACAGAACAGGTAAGTATGCCATGTATGTTTATTTATTTAAAATAATAAATCAGCCTTTAATATCACTTTAACATTTAGAAAATCTGAAGAGGCCAGCTGCAATGGTGATGATTTTTTTTTTGGGATCTTATTGTAAAGGTAACACATGCAAGATAGTTGTGCATTTGTCTTAGATCGCTGCTCTTCTGCCAAGGAAGAAAAGTACTGGAGTGTGTTCACACTAGTCCCTCTGCATTTCTTGGAGTACATACAGTTGTGCTCAAAAGTTTGCATACCCTTTGAGAACTGGTAATATGCAGTATGTGCCATTTTTGAAGAAAACATGAGTGAGCAGGCAAAACACATTTCTTTTATTTTCTATGGAAAACAAATGAAATGACCCCTATTCAAAGGTCTGCATGTCCTTAGTTCTTAATACTGTGTATTTGTCCCCTTTTTAGCATCAATGACTGTGCAGTCTGTTGTAATAGTTGTCTATGAGGCCCTTAATTCTTGCAACTGGCATAGCTGCCCATTCATCTTGACAAAATGCCTCCAGGTTATGCAAAGTCTT